TCTGTGAGATTCTTATTTCCTATTAAGCAACAAAAGGCCAAAAGTGGAGCTGCAGCTCAAGTAGTAGAGCACTTGAGCCAAAAAGCTCAGGAAGCTAGGCACTGGTGGCTCATGCCTGTAATCCTAGCTACTCAGGAGGCTGAGATCTGAGGATCATGGTTTGAAGCCAGCTTAAGCAGGAAAGTCCATGGGACTCTCATCTCCGATGAACCACAAAAAGCCAGAAGTAGTGCTTAAGTGGCAAAGCATTAGCCTTGAGTAGAAAGCTCAGGGACAGTGCGCAGGCCTGAGTTCAAGCCCAGGACTGGCACCAAGGAAAAAAAAAAAAAAACTAGTCCTGAGTGGGAATTAGCAGGAATGGGGAACGCTAATGAAGAGAATGAATGAGGATGAAAATTGTTTATTTGCACATATGAAAAAAGAATGAAACCTGTTGGAATTAAGAGGAAGTAGCACAGAGAGTGATAGCGGTGATGCTGGTCCAGACAAATTGTATATATATGTGGTAATATCACAATAAAACCCCCCTCGTATAACAACATATGCTAATTTAAAATTTAATAAGTTCCAGTCAGGTGCTAGTAGCTCATGCCTATAATCCTACTCAGAGCCTGAGATCTGAAGATCATTGTTCAATGCCAGTCCAGGCAGGAAAGTCCATGAGACTCTTACCTACAATTACCAAAAAAAAACACAAAAGCAGGAAGTGGAGTTGTGACTCAAGTAGCACTTTCAAAGGCACTAACCTTGAGTGAAAAAGCTAGGAGACAGTGCCTAGAGCCTAAGTTTAAGCAACAGGATCAGCATGTGAGCACACGTGCATACGCGCACCCCCACCCGCCCCCGCCCCCACCCCCTCTCCCAACATACAAGTCCTGATGTGTGTGTGTGTGTGTGTGTGTGTGTGCGCATGAGCTTGCACTCTGAGGGGTCTGGCCCCTGTCCCTCAGCTCAGCTCAAAGCCAGAGCTCTACCACTTGAGCCACAGCACCACTTCTGGTTTTCTGGTTGTTTACTGAAGTCTCAGAGACTTTCCTGCCAGGGCTAGCTTTGAACCATAATCCTCAGATCTCAGCCTCCTGAGTAACTAGGATTACAGGTGTGAGCCACTAGCACCTGGTTCTATTATATATATAAGGATATATTGGGCTGGGAAGGTGGCTCAGTGGTAGAGCACTTGCCTTGCATGCATGAGGCCCTGAGTTCGATTCCCCAGCACCACATAAGCAAAAAGAAAAAAAGCCGGAAGTGGCGCTGTGGCTCAAGTGGTAGAGTGGTAGCCTTGAGCTGAAAAGCTGAGGGACAGTGCCCAGGCCCAGAGTTCAGGCCCCACAACCGGACCCAAAAAAACAAAAACAAAACAAAAAGGATATATTCTAATAAATGTATGTTTTATGATATATATGTATGTATTTATATGTTAAATATAAACATAAATTATATAAATGTTTATTTATATCCTATATATTTATTAGAATATATAAATTCTAATAAAAGATAATCCCTAAAGTAATAGGGTCCAGGTATCTCACGTGATCAGTATATCACCACTCTTCCTCACCTGGTAAACTATTCTACCAAAATTTAGTGAGCATCTAACTTGCCTAATTCTGTGCCACCTTCTCAAAATATATTGGTGTAGTAAGGGGAAAACATCGGTAGTACACACCTGTAACCCCAGCACCTGGGAGGCTGAAATAAGATCCTGAATTCGAGGTGAGGATGAACTACTTATCTAGATGCAGTTACAAAACAGAGGAAGAAGTGGTGAATATGCTATTAGACAAACAAACAGACTTAAACTTCCAGTCCATCCAAAACACCAGCCCCTCCTGGTGTCATAGAGCTCCTTAACTTCTTCGCCATTCCTGACACCTTACCTGTTGCGGGAGGGGCGGGAGGCTGCCCACACTCTTGCTTTCTTCACATTAGATGCCAGTAGTAATCCCCCAGTTTTGACTCCAAGGCTGTCTCCAGACATTATCAGATATCCCCAAAAGCAAAATCGCCCCCAGCTCACAAGCACTGGTCTAGGGGACTCTGTCCAAGTGCTCTCTGTCCGCCCCCCCCCATCCCACCCCAGGGTGATCTCTCTATGCGTCTTCAAACTTCCCTTTCCCAGGGAGCAGCTACCTGACCTCTCCAACTAGATCAGCGCTTTGCGTTTCTGGGTCTTTCTAAGTTCTCCACCCTACACTTTCTGAGGACTCAAACTCGTTTCACCTAGCCTTGTCCACTGCCCGCTCTCTCCCTGACCACTGGCACGAGCCTTGGCACACTCCCGCTGCATTGACTGACAAAGAGAAACAGGCAAAGGGGGGGGGCGGGTAATGTGACTGAGGCTGTGAGACTCAAGGTGGTGGGAGCTGAGGTGACGGCTTAGTCACGGAGCGCATGCGCTCCGCAGTTCCAGGATTTCACCCCCATCGCCCCCCCCCCCCCCCCCCCCCCCGCCACACCGACGAAGGTGTATCCGAAGTATACCCGCAGGCTACGGAAGGAGGAGGAGCAGGGTCGGCCGCTCCGACCGGAGCTCCCAGAGAGAACTTACACAGGCCTGAAAGCGGGCGACAAAGTCCCTCACTCGGGGACACCAAGTGCGGCTACCACGTTCACCACAAGCGGCAACTCCGTCCGTCCCTCAGCTCCTATAACGGCCGTTACACGCCCGCCAGGCCGCACGCCCCGGAGCGCGCGCCCTCAGGCTCCGCCCCTTTATGGATCCCAACCAATAGGGCGTCCAGCCGCGTGAGTTTCTCTCCCCTATGTTCCCACTCCAGACCAATCGAGAGTCGAGCTGCATCGATGTCCCACCCTGTGCTCGCTGCCCTCCGCGCGAGGGGGGGGGAGGGGGAGGAGGCCCGAGGGCGGGGGTGCCGGGCGGGGGCGGTGGGTCGTACTGCGCATGACTCAGCCGAGATCTGCGGCGTTGTGCCGCGCCTCGGAGTCGTGTCCTCTGGCTTTTACTCAGTTCGGCCAGTAGGTGGAGTAGAGCTCACCGAGTCCTAGAGCGGCCTACTGAGCCTGGGTCAGTAGGAAGCTGATGGCCTGGGCTTGTGGGAATCCACTCAACCGGCCTCACCTTCCTTCCACTCCACTACCCAACTGTCGGTTCCCGCCCCCGAAGAAAGGGGTCAAATGACCCACACAGGAGGCGGGTGTGGCCGGGGTCACTGGCTAGTTTGGAGTCTTGGCCTGATTTACTGGATAATAAACCTGGGTATGATAGGTAGATGATAGGTAGAGGACTTTTGTTAACATGAACCTTAAGTCTGATAAGTTTTCAGACTGTTTTTGTTACTGTTTTGTACCGGAACTGGGGCTTGAACTCGAGTCGGTAGCACTTGCTTAGCTTTTGCTTTTTTTGTCAGTCGTGGGGCCTCAACTTTGAAGAGCTGTCCCTCAGCTCTTCAGCTCAAGGCTGGCGCTCTACCACTTGAGCCACGGCGCCACTTCCAGCTTTTTCTGTTTATGTGGTGCTGAGGAATTGAACCCAGGGCCTCATGCATGCGAGGCAAGCACTCTACCACTGAGCCACCTTCCCAGCCCCTTGCTTAGCTTTTCTAATTGAAGGTTGGTGCTCTACCACTTGAGCCGCAGTTCCACTTCTGGCCTTTTGCTGGTTAGATGGAGTTAAGAGTCTTACAGACCTTCCTTTCCCAGCTGGCTATAAACCATGATCTGAAGATATCAGCTTTAAGTACCCTAAAGTCCCTTAATATCTCAGTCTCAGGACCTTAACGGTAGAAATTATATTTTCTATTATGTCAAATTTTTAGGGATATTACTTCTCTTTTCTAGAAGGCCTTGAAGGTAGCCTTTGATTCTCTAATCAAATTAAGAGGCTTCTTTTGTTTTGCTTTTGTGGAGCTTGAACTCAAGGCCTGGGAGCTGTCCCTGAGCTTTTTTGCTGAAATCCAGTGTTCTACCACTTCAAGCCACAGCTCCACTTCCAGTTTTCTGGTGGTTAATCGGAGGCCCATGCTGGATTTGATCAGTGAATTATGATCCTCAGATCTCAGCCTCCTGAGTAGCTATGCTTATAGGCCACCAGCACTAGGCTTTTTTTTTTTTTTTTTGAGAAAGTTATGTAATCTACATTATAACATAGGTTCTGTAACCTAGGCTGGTCTGTAACTCACTATGAAGCCCAGATTGTCCTCAAACTCACAATCTTCCTGCCTCCCCCTCCAAGGTACTGGTATTTCAGGCTTATACCATCATGCCAGATTTTTTTTGAGGGGGGGGGGGGTTGGTCATGGGGCTTGAACTCTGGGCCTAGGCACTGTCCCTCAGCTCTTCAGCTCAAGGCTAGCACTCTACAACTTGAGCTACAGTGCTACTTCCGGTTTTCTGGTGGTTAATTGTAGATGAGTCTCAACGACTTTCCTGCCGGGCTGTCTTTGAACCATGATCCTCAGATCTCAGCCTCCTGAGTAGCCAGGATTACGGGCGTGAGCCACTGGCACCCAGCTCATGCCAGATTTATCTATCTTTTCCATCAGATCCACTGCAAGCATCCCAAGGAGTTGGGAATCCACCAATCAAAACATAGTTGATTCCAACACAAAAAAAAATTTTATTGTCAGATTGTCAGTATACAGATACCTGGCCTTGGCGTCCTTGTTGGCCTGACCTTTATCTTCTCAGTGCCTGGACCTACTCAGGCTTCACCCAGCTCTAGACTGGAGCAGGTGGTCAAGGATGCCCTTCTTTAGGCCAAAGCCTGGCTACCTTGGCCAGTAGCCCTCTTCTGTGCTCATCCTTGCCAACAGGGCTCTCATTCTCATCCAGCTTCCTTCTCCGTCTTGGTTCCTCTGGACCTGAGGCTCACAGGCACAAGCCCTGCAGATGCTGCCATTATCACAGTCCCTGGCCACTGCCCAGGTATGAGGGAGAGAATGGGCATTGGCCAGATTGTGCCCAGCCATGCTAGGGATGCAGGAAGATGCAGCAGCTGGCTGTATGTGTGCAGGCCCCTTGGTTTCTATCCCGCCTCCTCAGTGGTTGAACTTGTGTTTGCTAAGCATTGTATTTGTGGTCGATTCATAAACCTGCAATTAAGAGGGTTTTTCATAATTTATCCTGCCTTGGTATGTCAGATTCTTCCTTCCTCCTTTCTTGAGCTTTAACAGCTGGCCAATCCAAACTTTCCAGGGAAGTTCTTCAATATGTTTACCTATAGAGCCTGTGAGCTGGGGAGCCAAGCATTTACCAGAATCATGGTCGTTCTAACCCAGTCCAATTGGTAGAAGGCAAAGAAACACCTTTTTTCTATCTAGAAGCGCATGTTTCTCTCTCTCTCTCTCCCCCCCCCCCTCTCTCTGACACTACTCTTTTTGTTGTTGTTGTTGGTCATGGGGCTTGAACTCTGGGCCTGGGCGCTGTCCCTGTGTTCTTCAGTTCAAGGCAAGCCCTACACCACTTGAGCCAAAGTGCCACTTCCAGTTTTCTGGTGATTTACTGGAGATAGAGTCTCATGGACATGGGGCTGGGAAGGTGGCTCAGTGGTAGAGCGCTTGCTTTGCATGCATGAGGCCCTGGGTTCAATTCCTCAGCACCAAATAAGCAAAAAAAAGAAAAAAGCCGGAAGTGGAGCTATGGTTCAAGTGGTAGAGTGCTAGCCTTGAGCTGAAGAGCTGAGGGACAGCACCAGGCCCAGAGTTGAGGCCCCATGACTGGACCCCCTCCCCCCCCCAAAAAAAAAGAAAAAAAAAGAGTCTCATGGACTTTCATGCCTAGGATGGCTTTGAACCACAATCCTCAGATCTCAGTAGTTAGGATTGTAGGCATGAGCCACTGGCACCTGGCTTAGGATACTGCTCTTAATGAACCCAGATGGCCATCCATGGTTCATTTGCTCAGAGGAGCTGAGCTGGCTGAAGCCATACTAAGAAGAGCTGGGAAACAAACTGGCTTCAGGGGCAGAACCTGATAGAACAGGGTAGGTGCCTTTCAGAGAAGGGTAGGGTGGGATTTGACCCAATATGGGTGGTGACAGCTGCAGTGGGTGGTAGTTGAGGGAATGGACAGGTCTTGGAATAGAGAAAGGCACTTTGACAAATACACCGGTGGCTGGGCTGGACAGCAGGGCAAGTGCTGATTGGGTAGGATAGGGAAGCCACACCTTTTCCCTGTCAAGCAGTGCTGAGAACAAGTCTTGCTGGGTAGCTAAGCCTCGTGTGTCCACTGAGGACCCACTCAGTGATGACAGACTTGTAGACATGTGTCTGCGTAACAACTCCTCTTCCTGCTCCTTGTTGTAGCGGATGGAGCGTACTTCCTCCACGATTCTGGTGGGGCAGAGAGGAAAGTGCATTCAGGGGAGGGGGACAGCTCTTCTACCTCTTCCCCGGTGTGGCCTGTACTCCTCCTTGGACATTCCCTACCACACACCAGGACCCTCCTTTTCCCTCACACCCACCAACAGGCTGGGGGACCCTGGGTGAATCACTTAGCCTCTCTGGGCTCCAGGATCCACATTAGGAAATGATAAAGGCGTGAGACCAGACCCAGCCTTGACTCATGGGACTTGGGGGGTACCCCCAGTACCTCCTTCCCTACCTGTTGAGCTCATCTCGGATCTGTTTGTACTGCTTCAAGTTCTCCTGTATTGCTTCAAGCACCAAGCAAAAGTTGTCACATGTGTTTTCTGTGAGGCTTGGCAGGGCGCCCCCTACAAGTGGTTCCTGGGGGGCAGGTTTCTCCATCTGGGCCACTGCACAGTGCACAAGTGGCAATTCGTCATCCCAGTTCTCATCTTCTTCCACATTCTGGGGGAAGGGCAGAGAGAGCATGCATGGTTCTCTCCCCTCCTGTCCTTTCCTTTCTCTCCTCTCTTCCATCCTCCCCCCGACTCCACCCTTCTCTCTAGCACTTGCTTTCCCCCATTGAGCCAGACTAGGAACCCTCAGCTCCAATCAGTATTAGCTTGCCTACCTTGTTTGAGGTGAAGTGCACCAACCCATCCTCCACTTCTTTGGAAATTCTCACCCCCTTCCCTCTCATTTCATCCCTGATCATTCCTACCCAGTACACTTGGAAAGCCTCGCTTCTTCTCAAGTCATGGCCTCACCTCCTTTTCCAATCATACTGAAGCTCTGCTGAGTGACTACTCTGTAGCTAACGTTTATTGTGTGTTTACTATGTGCCAAGCACATGTCGGTGTTTACATAATCTTCAGTGGAGCCCTAGCAGCTAAATACCATGATTATTCCTATTGTATAGAAGAAACTAGAGACTGCATTGGTGAAATGCTCTAAGACCCACACAGTGGTCACATCTAGGAAATCCACACCCCAAGTCCAGGCATGGGGCTCCTGGTCTTGGATTTGATTTTCTTTTGTGCAAGAACACATGTGCATATGCACACACACACACACACACACACACACACACACACACACAGATACATACGTACACGTTGGCACCCATGTACATAGCCCCTCCCCTCCCGCGTGCCCTCCCCATCCCACACACCTCGCTAAAGATTATTTGACGCTCTTTGTTCTGCTCTCCTGTCTTCATCATTTGTTCCAGATTGGTAGTCACCACAACGACAAACAGGTTGATACCGACGAAGGCACCGACAGTGATGAAGATGGCAAAGTAGATGGCAGCCCCTATCTCCATTGCATACTCTCTCCTCTGCATCCTAGAGATGGCACACAGGGACCACAACAGCTTTCCAACCTTTGTGAGCCTCTGTTTCCTCTTCTATGAAATGAGGTCATTATCCCCAGGTCTACAGGGACTTCTGCCTATTTTGCAACTATTGTGCAGATCTAATTACTGACTCCTGGGGGGGAGGGTCATAGCACCTGCTACTTACTAATGTGCTGCTGACCTGCTGTGCTGCTAGATAGCGGGCCAACACTCAGAGCAGCCCTGGGGAGTGGTTTGGACATCAGCAGTATCAGATGTCATCGATTACCAACACTCTCTTTGTATATATATATTATAAATGGAAGCGCTCTGTACCAGCCTCTATACTGGGAGATTCATATATATATTTTCTCTACTGATTCTCACAACAATCTTCAACATAGTTAATAACGTATTTGCTGGGTCTTTAAAGATAAGAGTCTCACAAATTTTTATGTCTGGGCTAGCTTCAAACTACAACCCTCAGATCTCAGCTTCCTGGGCAGCTAGGATGACAGGTATGAGCCACTAGCATCCAGCTGTTTTCCTCACTACAAAGTTTTGGGTACCATCTTCCTGCTAGGCCAGCCCTGGAGCCCCAAACTCCTTGTAAGCCCTTTTCCCCCATTTTCCTGCCATACAGCAGTTCCAGCCCAGTCCTTGCCAAGGTGAGAATGAGGCCTGGGAGTTCCATTGGCACTCACTGGAAGTCCCTGTAGATGTCCAGCCAGCCATCCTGTGTTATGCAGATGAAGAGGGTGTACAGGGCAACCCCCATGTTCTGGAAATGCTTGGGCACGAATGCGCCAAAGAGTGTGACTCCAAACACAGAGAACACCTGCCAAAGAGACCAAAGTCCCACCCTAACATCATCCAGGGGCCTTGGACATGAACGGAATATGCAAATGACCTGCAAGTTGGTGCTGCCCATAACCATGAGCCTCTTTTCTAGGTTTCCCATCTCTCCCCATTGACCCAGATACCGTTTCAGGGAAGGGGAAGGGCTAGGGTGAAGGAGGGCACTGACCAGCATGAAGAAAAGGATGAGGGCCATGATATTGGCCATGTCAGGCACCGACTGTATGATGACACGGATGATCCGGGCCAGGGGCTCCACCGCCATGCACACGTGTACCAGCCGAAGCGCCCTGTGGCAAAGCCTCTCAAGGATACCCTTTGGCTCTTCCCAGACCTGCCCTCCCTCCTCATTGCCCACCCCCTAACTGCCCACAGAGGCAGAACTGATGCCCAGCTAATAACCACCTCCCCCTCTCATTCCTGAGATCCAGAAATGTTCCCTCTTTTCTCCAGAGCTCCCAGCTCACCTGAGCGTGTAGGTGACAGCAATGTTATTGAGTTCATTAATGAAGAACCCCAGGAGCAAGACAAAGACAATAACGAAATTGAGGATATTCCAACCGTCCTAAAAGTGAGTCAGCCCCAGAAGGATCTGTCATATTTAGCCCTTGATGACTGCCCTAGTTTCCATCCTCACACCCCGAGGATGGGGGGCTCAATAGCATCCTCTTCTGCCCCCAAACATGTACAGGACATGTCCACGTACTGTCCTGCACATCTGCCAACAGCCAAGTGCAAACTCAGGAACTTATAGTGAAAAGCCTCCCTTCACATGTACCCTTTGGTCCCTAGGCTGAGGCCCGCTTTGGCTAGTGAACTGTCCTTGTCCTACAAATTAGGTAACTAGACAACATCTGGATGCTCCTGCCTTTGTGTGACACAACAGTTAATAAAATGGATGAATACCAAATAAACACATCAAGCAATACTGCTTCAAACTGGATGCTAGTGGCTTACATCTATAATCCTATCTACTCAGCTGAGATCTGAGGATTGAGGATGGGTTTTTTTTTTTTGGTTGGTCATGAGATCTTCAGCTCAAGGCAAGCACTCTACCACTTGAGCCACCGTGCCATTTCTGGTTTTCTGTGGTTAATTAGACATAAGAGTCTCACAAACTTTTCTGCCCAGGCTGGTTTTGAACCCCGATCCTCAGATCTCAGCCTCCTACCTAGTAGCTAGGATGACAGGCATGAGCCACTGACACCTGGCAAGATTGAGGTTTGAAACCAGCCCAGTCAGAAAAATGTGTGAGATTCTCATCTTCAGTTAACCAGAAAAAAGGTGGAAGTAGGCCAGGCACTGGTGGCTCACACCAGTAATCCTAGCTACTCAGGAAGCTGAGATCTAAAGGATTATGATCTGAAGCCAACCAGGGTAGGAAAGTCTGTGATACTCTTTTTTCTTTTCTTTTTTGTTGGTTGTGGGGCTTGAACTCTGGGTCTGGGCGTTGTCCCTCAGCTCTTCAGCTCAAGATGAGCACTCTACCACTTGAGCCACAACACCACTTCTGGTTTTCTGGTGGTTAATTGGAGATAAGAATCTCATGGACTTTCCTGCCCAGGCTGGCTTTGAACTGTGATTCTCAGATCTCAGCCTCCTGAGTAGCAAGGATCACAGGAGTGAGCCACCAATGCCTGGCAGTGATACTCTTATCTCCAGTGAACCACCAGAAAACAGGAAGTGGAGTTGTGGCTCAAAGTGTTAGAGTGCTAACCTTGAGCAAAAAGAACTCAGGGATAGCACCTAGGCACCAAGTTCAAGCCCTACGGCCAACAACAACGACAAAAAAAAAACAACTCCAGTCCTGGAACATAAAAGAAAAAAGGAGAGGAAATGAAAATCCACTTGTCTATAAATTGATTATTGTATTGAACAAATATTAAGCTCCTGCAGTATGCCATACCAGGAACCATTTCCTGAGAATAAAAGGTTTTTGTCCTGTAGGGCTCACAGATTAATTTGAAGGATGTGGAAAGACCAAAAAAAATTTTTTTTGGCCAATCCTGGGTCCTGAACTCAGGACCTGAGCACTGTCCCTGAGCTTCTTTTGTTCAAGGGTAGCAGTCCACCACTTGGACCACAGCACCATTTCTGGCCTTTTCTATTTCTGTGGCACTAAGGAATGGAACCTAGGATTTCATGCATGCTAGGCAAGCACTCTACACTAAGCCACATTCCCGGCCTGAGACAAAATATTTTATATGCATACATGAGAAAGACCAGAGCGGCTGGGAACCTAGCCTAGAGATTGGAAGAGACCTCCTGAAGAAGACATCCCCATGGATATGAGAGTAAAGCAAATGAAGAGGGAAAATCAAATACTTGTTTGTGCTGGTCCTGGGGCTTAAAATCAGGGCCCGCGCGCTGTCCCTGAGATATTTTCACTCAAAGCTAGTGCTCTACCACTTGAGCCATACCTCTACTCTGGTTTTTTGGTGGTGTCTCACAGACTTTTCCTGCTAGAGCTGGGTTTGAACTTCAATGCTCAGATACTAGCTTCCTGAGTAGTTAGGATTACAGATGTAAGCCACTGACACCTGCCTAGAATACTTTCTGACACATGTAAATTCAAAGTCGGGTTGGGAATATAGCTGAGTGGTAGAGTGCTTGCATAGAATGAATGAAGCCCTGGGTTCAATTCCTCAGTACCACATAAACAGAAAAAGCCAGAAGGGGTGCTGTGGCTCAAGTAGTAGCCTTGAACAAAAGAAGCTCAGGGACAGTGCCCAAGTCCTGATTTCAAGCCCCAGGACTGAGGGGGGAAAGTATATTTTTATCTGGTAAGTCACAGAAAAACTTTTCTAACTCTTGTTCTAGACTTCTATACATACCCTCAATCCCAGGTATAAAAGTCAACGTTTGCCTGACTACAGAGCTGGATCAAGAATAGGAACTAAGCAGGGTAATGGAGGCTTATGCCTGTAATCCTAGCTACTCAGGAGGCTGAGATCTGAGGATGGAAGTTCAAAGCCAGCCAGGGCAGGAAAGTCCGTGAGACTCTTATCTCTAATAAGCCACTCAGAAAACCCTAAGTGGAACAGTGGGTCAAGTGGTAGAGCACTAGCCTTGAGCTGAAGAGCTGAAAGACTGTGTTCAGGCCCAGAATTCAAGCCCCATGACTGACAAAAAAAAAAAAAAAAAAAGAAAGGAACCCAGGGAGGCAACTTCCAGTACAAGATCTGTTGTTCTGGGACATCTCAGCATCTCTCTTACACACACACACACACACACACACACACACACACACACACACACACACCGCCCCCTCACACACAAACCCCCTCGAGTTTCAGACCAGGGACTACATGGGGTGCAGCTCCCAGGGAGGAGAAGGGCAATAGTAGGGAGTCCCAAGATCTCACCTTCCAGAAAATCCAGAAGCCATTGAGCCAGCCTAGGAGAACCTCACAGATAAGGATGGTTAGCACAATGTCATCTATGGTAGAGAATAACTCATAGTGTTTCTACAGGGAGACAGAGAATAAGAGAGGGGCAGAGGCATTAGTGAGCAGGTCCTGGGGGAGGACAGTTATGGAGGAAGGAGAGTCTGTATTCCTGCTGCCCCTCCTCCTCTGTCATGCCCTTTAGGAGGCAATTTCTGTGTCCATGCCAGGTATTATGCTAAGAGCAGTCCTGGCTGGGAGCCAGTGACTCCTGCCTGTAATCCTAACTACTCAGGAGGCTGAGGTCTAGGATCATGGTTCAAAGCCAGCCTGGCAAAAAAAATCTGTGAGACTTTGATCTCCAAATAACCACTAGAAAACCAGAAGCAGTGCTGTGGCTTACGTGGTAGAGTGCTTGCCTTGAGTTGAAGAGCACAATGACAGCGCCCAGGCCCAGAGTTCAAGCCCCACAATGACAAAAAACAAACAAACAAAAAAACTCAGGGACAGTGTCAAGCCTTGAGTTCAAGTCCCAGGACCAGCAAGCTATAACAACAACAAAAAAAAACCCAACTCATATCTACCCAAACCTGATCTTATTCCTTCAGCTTCCTTCTATACCCCAACAGCCCACAGTCCCGACTCTACCATGAAATACCAAGTCATCTTGCCTTCTTACTTCTTTTTTTTTTTTTTTTTTTTGGGTCCAGTTGTGGGACCTGACCACTGAGCCAACTTCCCAGTCCCTTACTTCCTTTTTTTTTAAACTTGGGGCCTGGGTGCTGTCCCTGAGCTTTTTAGCTCAAGGCTAGCACTCTAGTGCTTTGAGCTACAATACCACTTCCTGTTTTCTGGTGATTTTTTTTTTTGAGGGGGGGGGGTTCCAGTTGTGGGGCCTGAACTCTGGGCCTGGGCGCTGTCCCTCAGCTCAAGGCTAGCACTCTACCACTTGAGCCACAGCACCACTTCCAACTTTTTTTTCTTTTTGCTTATGTAGTGCTAAGGAATCGAACCCAGGACCTTATGCATGAAAGGCAAGCACTCTACCACTGAGCTACCTTCCCAGCCCATTTGGTGATTTAATTAGAGATAAGAGTCTCAAGGACTTCCCTGTCTGAGGTTTGCTTCAAACTATGATCCTCAGATCTCAACCTTCTGAGTAGCTAGAATTATAGGCATGAGCCACTAGCACCTGGCTCCATACTTTTTTTTATGGCCCATGGTTGACTCAGTTCCTGGAGATTCACTGCCACACGTGTGGGGGGGCTGGAGGGTTAACTTTAAAGCTTATGGGCTTCTTGCCGGATTCCAATTCAGAAGTGTTTAAGGACTGCCTGTTTCTTTCCCCTTCTTATCCCTGTGGCTCCACCTGCTGGCCAATGCAGGTAACAGGCCCTACCCAGTATTAATGATAAGAGATTCTACATTATTCTTCTGTTGCCCTTAGAAGTCTTCCATGCTTCTATGCCCTACAGAATGAAGTTCACAATCAATATGACATTCTGAGCTTCTTGGACACAAAACCTCCACCAGGATTTTAACAGTTTTGTTTGGGACCCATAGTAAGATATACAGCTTACAAAATAATCCTTCCTTGTTCTTCCTTCTTTCTCCTAGCCCATTCTCCCTTTGTCTCTCCTTCTCTTTTTCTTATTCCCTCTTGCTATATTTGGTCATCTGCCAAAACTCTGGCCTCTATAGTCTGAAATTATCTTTTTGTGTGTGTGCCTATACTTGAATTCAGAACCTAGGCACTATTTCTCAGCATTTTCATTCAAGGCTAGTGCTCTACCACTTGAGCCCCAGCGCCACTTTTGGCATTTTGGTGGTTAACTGGAGAAGAGAGTCTCATGGACTTTCCTGCCCAGGCTAGCTCTGAACCACAGTCCTCAGATCTCAGCCTCCTGGATAGTAGGATTACAGGCGTGAGCCACTGGTGCCTGGCTCTGAGTTGATTTCATGACTGGCTTATGCTGTGCCCTCCTGTGCCCTGACTCTGCAAACTGCAAGTTCCTGCCTCCACCATTGGCCAATGGCCACTCCTCCTCAGTCTCTTCCACCTTTGCCTCTGTTCCCATGGCTGCCTGTCTTGCCCCTCTCCTGTTTTCAAGCACACTCTGTAGGCCATCTCACCCACTCCTTAAGTCTAGCCACCCACCCTGATGACTCTGACAGCTCTCAGCTGTCCATCTCCACCCAAGTGCCCTCGCTGCCTTTCAGATCTGGCCGCCAGCTCCTCTTTGAAACATCTCCATGAGGACATCATGTGATGCGTCAGATGCTACACAGTTCAAACCGACTTTCACATCTTCCCCAGAGTTGCTTTCTTGGTGTGATGGGATACCCATCACTTGCTCAATCCAGAAACTTAATTTCCTGCCCTCCTTTTGCCTGCACGCATGAGGTGACAACTTGTGTTAACCCAAGGTAGCACATAGTAAGTGCTCACTGTTAGCTGTTGATGTAATCTATCAGGAAGGACATGCTCACATCATCCAACGTGGATGTGGTACCTAGAGAGTTGCATCTGATCTCTTCTCACTCATTTGCCATAGTCCTGACCTAAATCCCATCATCTACCTGGACATCTGTGATAGGCTCCTGCCCCATCCATTCCCCCCCCCCCCTTTTGTTTTTGTCAGTTGTGGGGATTGAACTCTAGGCCTGGGCGCTGTCACTCAGCTCTTCAGCTCAAGGCTAGAGCTCTACCACTTGAGCTACAGCGCCATTTCCGGTTTTCTGGTGGTTTATTGGAGATAAGAGTTTCACAGACTTTCCTGCCCGGGCTGGCTTTGAACCGAGATCCTCAGATCTCAGCCTCTCGAGTAGTTAGGATTACAGGCGTGAGCCACCAGCGCCCGGCTTTCTTCCTCTTCTTCTTTTTTTTTATTTTTTTTATTTTTTTGTTCGGTCGTGGGGCTTGAACTCTGGGCTTAGGCGCTGTCCCTGTGCTCTTCAGCTCAAGGTGAGTGCGCTACCACTTGAGCCACAGCACCACTTCTGGTTTTCTAGTGTTTTTTTTTTTGCTTTGTTTTTTTTTATTGGAGATAAGAGTCTCACGGACTTTTCCTGCCCGGGCTGGCTTTGCACCTCGATGCTCAGATCTCAGCCTCCTGAGTAGCTAGGATTATAGGCGTGAGCCACTGGTACCCGGCTTCCCTCTTCTTGATCCTCTTCCTTCCACACTGTGTAGTCTTACAAGTTTTCTAAAACACGTCTGTCACTTCTCTTTGATTTAAACATTGCCCTGGACTTCTACTGATATATAGAATACTGGCCAGCCTTCTTGACATAACAGGAAGACTGTGTGTGATCTGGCCTCTCATCATCTCTGTAAGTTCATCTGCCATCACTACTCTGGACATATGGAATTTGAATGGCATCATTTATGTATAGATACTCCTTGTAAGAAATTAAGGCATTAAGCTGGGCACTGGTGGCTCATGCTTATAATCCTAGCTACTCAGGAGGCTGAGAGCTAAGGCTCGAGGTTCAAAGCCAGGCCAGACAGGAAAGTCCATGAGATTCTTTTTCTTTCTTTTTTTTTTTGGCCCGGTCATGGGGCCTGAACTCTGGGCCTGGGCGCTGTCCCTCAGCTCTTTAGCTCAAGGCTAGCGCTCTATCACTTGAGCCACAGCGCCACTTCCGGCTTTTTTCTTTTTTGCTTATGTGGTGCTGAGGAATCAAACCCAGGACCTCATGCATGCAAGGCAAGCGCTCTACCACTGAGCCACCTTCCCAGCCCCTTCCCCATCTATCTTTGCTTGGCCTACAACACCTCTCATTCTTTTTTTTGGGGGTCCGGTCGTGGGGCCTGAACTCTGGGCCTGAGCGCTGTCCCTCAGCTCTTCAGCTCAAGGCTAGCGCTCTACCACTTGAGCCACAGTGCCACTTCTGGCTTTTTTCTGTTTGCTTATGTGGTGCTGAGGAATCGAACCCAGGGCCTCGGGCATGCAAGGCAAGCGCTCTACCACTAAGCCAACTTCCCAGCCCTACTCCTCTCATTCTTTACTCTCAGCTTAAATGTCACCTCCTCCAGGAAGGCTTCTCTGTCCTCCATATTAGGTTCCAACACTCAGGCACTTGTGAAAGTATGATTGAGACTTCCTGGGGCCATAACTGGATCTATTGTATTCTTACCTGGGAACTTTACACTGATTACAATCAGCACGTAGCTCAGGTGATTTTCTCTTAGTGGTTGTTAAAATTGGACACCATTACCCAAAAGGTTAGCCATTTCCCTGTACACACCATTTCCCTGTATACACCATTCTCTCCTGTGCTTTTATAAATCCAATACAATCCTCAAGGCTCCTGAGCCTTCTCCCCTGTGAAGTCTTCCTTGACCTTCAGATCCCTGGCCAATAGACACAGTTCAAGATATATAGCATCTAGTTCAAGATAGATGAGGAACCTGTGGCCTTGGGTCACCATTCAAGCCAATGGGGACAAAGGGCAAACTGGGGTCCCACCTGGCCATGGTAGGAGCTGGTCCGGAGAGCAATGGTGATGGCGTTGGTCACCAGCAGCAGGGCCAGAATCGTCTGGAAGGTCGGATGTCGCAACAAGTGTTTGACGTACATTTGAGTGATGAACTCCTCCTTGTCCCAGGCATCCTAGGAGAGGGTGGAGACCTTGTGCAGGCAGCCTCTACCTGGAAGGTTCTCTGTGTTTAGGGGGAGCCTAAAAGGGACTCATTTGAGATCATGAAATGCAAAGCATCCAAGTTGCTATTTATGTAGTCACTAAAACAGATCATGGCAAGAGAGTCTTTTGAGGGGAGTTTGGCTAGTGAATACTATCATTTTTTTTTTTTTTTTGTCGGTCGTGGGGCTTGAACTCTGGGCCTGGGCGCTGTCCCTCAGCTCTTCAGCTCAAGGTGAGCGCTCTACCACTTGAGCTACAGCGCCACTTCCGGTTTTCTGGTGGTTTATTGGAGATAGGAGTCTCACGGTCTCTCCTGCCCGGGCTGGCTTTGAACCGCTATCCTCAGATCTCAGCCTCCTGAGTAGCTAGGATTACAGGCGTGAGCCACCAGCGCCCGGCAAGTACTGTCATTAATATAGGGTTTTCTATGGGGGCACTGCCAGGCAGTTGCTAAACTGTTAAGTGGGGGAGTCACTTTGGGGTTACTGCTAGGGAAGTTCCTCTAGAAGGAGGCACGTGTAAGGCAGAAGGCACATGTGCCCAGGGGCACCGTTGCAGGACGGGCCTGTACCTACTTCCTACTGTCCCCGCCTTCCTACCTTCCGACTTGTGATGTCCAGGCGGTTGATGAGCACTTGCTCATCGTGGTGGGTGAAGGGGTCATATGTGTTCCTCTGCAGGAGAGAGGAGGGGGTTCTCAGTGCAGCCACTGCCCCTGCCCACCCTGGGATGCCACCTTAGGGATGGAGCCAGGCAAGGGGCCCCTACCAAGCTGCTCAAATTTTTGACGTTGGTGGTGTCAGTCCATTGCTGCCACCAGGCCTTTTGGTTTTCTGCCATTGTTGCTCTGTTACTTGTCCTCTCCTCTTCTTCAATGAAATTTTGCAGCCGGAAGTCTCACTCCCCCTCGTGGTGAGATCATAGAGGTGGCTGTGACCCCCGAGCCTTCCACATTCCACTCAAGAATTCCAGCCCCAGAGGAACCCCTTCCACTGCCTGAGGGCTGCTGGGATGGGGTCAGAAGGCAGAGGCTGATGGGAATAGAACTGGTTTCTTGTCCCTGCTGGACAGAGTTAGGCCGTGTCCCAGCTCTAGATCTAGGAATGTTTGTGAGACTTATCTCCAATTAGCCAGCAGAGAAGCCAGAAGTGGAGGTGTGATAGACTGCCAGTCTTGAATGAAAAAGCTAATGGATAGCTCCCAGGCGCACACATACACACACACAGATGTTTTGTGCCAGGACTCTCCCCCCAGGGTACCACTCCCCTCCAGCTACCTGTCCTATCACTGGGCTCTGAGGCCACCCATCCTGCCTTTCCATGTCAGGTATATGTCCAATCTACTAAGTGGAGGTATCTCACTGTCCCCACTAGAGATGGGATGGGCAATACTGCTGGGGTGAGAAGACCATGAGTAGGAGCTTATGCTGGTAGGCTAGCACTTTAGGTGCACAGCACAGGCCAATGAACCACACAGGGAGCTTGTTACCCACCCACAGCATAGGACATTCACCAAAACTCTCTGGGGGGTAGATTTCCAATTCTAAAGTAAGAGCACAGGGGCTGGGAAGATGGCTCAGTGGTAGAGCGCTTGCCTTGCATGCATGAGGTCCTGGGTTCGATTCCTCAGCACCACATAAACAAAAAGAAAAAAGCCGGAAGTGGCACTGTGGCTCAAGTGGTAGAGTACTAGCCTTGAGCTGAAGAGCTGAGGGCCAGTGTTCAGGCCCCACAACTGGACCCCCCCCCAAAAAAAAAAAAAAAAAACTAAAGTAAGAGCACAGATAGATTCATTTTAGATACAGGGATTTTATTCAGTAGAGAGTATCTCACATAGAATAAATACCTGTCCAGATTTAATTAGGGGAAACCAGCATTGCTGAGAGACAGGTTGGACAGAAGAATTTCGTCCTTACCAAGGGGGTAAAACAAAGTTCCCCTTGCCTTGCTCCAGGGCACATGGTGGGGAGAAACAGTGGAAATCCAGGCAGAGGCCAGACAGAATAGACTTGTACTGTTTCTATCCTTGAACAGAGCCCAGAAACAATGTCATTGTAGACAGGTAGTGATATGGTACTGGCTAGAGTGAGAGGTCAAGAGGCTGGAGGTTGCTCCCTGGGATCAACGGCACAGAAATGGGAGGGAGCCTCAGAGTCTGAGGTTAGGGATTGGGGGGACTGCTCAATAGAGTCAGAGGTCAGGGCCAGGGAGCTGCCCTCAGCCTGCACCACTCCCCTGGCTCCCAGGCTCTCTGAGTACAACTCCTGGTTCTGTTCTTTCCAACGACGGAACTTCTCTCCAGTGAGCTCAGGGTCACCCAGCACTTCCTCCAGGGCCTGAAGCTCCTGCAGCTTTGCCTGTCAAGGGAGCAGGAAATGAGAAGCCATGATCACAAAGAGAGAGACAAGAGCCCAGAGCAGAATCTGGAGTCTTGTACTTAGAATCCAGCACTGGGCTAGCAGCCTCCCATGAGCCAGCGTGAGATTTCAAATCCCAACTCAGAACCTGGAACTTGGCCCAGTCCACAGCTGAGCCCAGACTGGAATATGGAACCCAGAATTGAGTCCTGAAGTCAGAGAACCAGGACCCAAACCCCAGAGTCCCAAGCCCAGGGAAACTGGGAGCCAGAGGCAGATACCAGAAGCCCAGAGCCCCTGTCCCTTGTCCTTCCCAGTGCCCCTAGCTGACCTTGAGTGTGCTCTGTAGCGCCCGAACACGATGCACTCTCTCATTGAGGTGGGGGTCTCGATTACGCCGCATGAAAGAGCTTCGCCACTGCTCATAGGTCAGGGGTTGTGGCTGGCCCAGGAGGGACACACCACCCTGCCTCAGTCCCCTTACCATTCCTTCCAGTTCTTCGCTGCCATCTGGGGCAATAAGGAGAGAATAAATATGTGTCCATCCCAGCCACCAGCCCAGAGCCCAGGTCCCAGCTTAGTACCTTCTGGAGGCCCAACGGATGTCCTTGGGCTGTGCTGGGTTGGGGAGGTCACAGGTGATGTGTCTCCACGGAGTGGACTCCAAGTCTGAGCTGGGCTAGGCTGAATCAGGACAGAAGATGAGGAGGGCAATAGCCCGAGCCCCATCTCCTGCTGTCTGCCCCAACCTTCCACCCCCAAACAGACCCCTACTCACTGAGGCTGAGCGAGACCCGGCCTCATCATCAGGGTCTTCTGCTTCGGTCTCACTGTAGCAATCTAGGTGGGTGGGGAGGATCAGTTGGGGAACCCATGGGGCTTGGGGAGACCAAGGAGTAGGTTAGAGCAACAATGTTCCAGTTCCCATCTCAGGAAAGGGAGAGGTTCAAGTGAGATCCCAACTCCTTCTCCCTCTCCTGCGAGGTACCAACCTTCCTCTCTGGCTGAGGGTACCGGCCCTGGAGACTGGTACTTGGAAATGCAAGTGATGAGATTGCGCACCCACCTGTGGAGGAACAACCAGCTCTCAGGGAGTTTCCATCACTGAGGCCCTACTTGCATTAGGGGATTTTCACCATCTAGGGAATTTTTGACCCATTTTATAGATGATAGAACGGAGACTTTGAGAAGTAAGCATGTTGGTCAGCCACAGAAGTTTGCGATTTGCTAGAGCAGAGAGGTGGTACTCACATGCTCAGATCAGACAGTGTATCAGCAGCAAAGACAAAGGGTTTGTACACGTCATGGGTGAGCTGGAACACACTGCCAAGAAGACAAGAACCACCACTCAAGCCTCGTTCTGGGTGGCCTATCCAGAACTCAGAGACTCTGGATCAGGAATCCAACCACCTGCCGTGCAACTACCCCATACTGCCCCATTTCTCTCACCATGCCCCAATCCCACACACCCCAGGACTTAACTATTTCTTCTTCTGATCATGGCCACTTTCCAGACTGTAGTTGGAGACATTGATGAGGCCCTCAGCCTTTTCGTCCTGGGGGAATCACAGCATGTAGGTCATTTGAAGCCCCAAGCCCTCAGACCCATCAACTGCTCCTTAGTTACTTTGGGCTCCAGAGGGCAATAGAAAGGAGAGGATTTTTTTTTTGGGCTGAATCACAAGTTTCAGGGCAGGATGTGGGGCCAACGGGTACCTCTGAGCCACCAAGACATCCAAAGAAACAGCCAAGAGGAGTCTGTTTCTAAGTTCCTCTGCAGAATCATGAAGCTGCTTTATACCACTGAGCTTTGTAAACATCTTCCTCTTTCTTTCATCTTTTTTTTTTTTTAACTTGTTTTGGCAGTATTGGGGCTTGAACTCATGGCATAGTGTTTGCTAGGCAGATGCCCTACCCAGCATTCCTTTTCATCTGATTAACCACCAGGTATTGCTTTCTCAGAGAATCTTCGCTACTGTTCCGACTGGGTCAGATACTTCTGCTAGGCTCCCATCCAAATCTTTTGGGTTTTTCCTTCCTCTTAGCACTTGTTCCCCACATTGTCCCTAAACATGTATTGATCCCTCTTTCCCACACCAGCCTCTAAGTTGTAGAGGGTTAAGAGTTGTCCAATTCCTTCTTCATCCAGTGTCTAGACTGGAGCTGGGCTCAGCAGGCACCTGAATGTTTGTCTAATAAATGACTGGGTAAGTCATCACTAAGTATGAATATCAGAAGAAGAAGGAGAGATGGGCAGAATAAAAGTGATTTTCTCTACATCTTCTCCAAACAATACCTCTTTCTCTTCCTCCTCCCTCCCTCACCAGTGCTGGGATTCTAATTGTAGTATGTGCACGCTGAGAACACTAAGTCACACTTCTAGCCACTTCAAACTTCTTTTTTTTTTTTTTTTTTTTGGTCAGCCGTGGGGCTTGAACTCTGGGCCTGGGCGCTGTCCCTCAGTTCTTCAGCTCAAGGCGAACGGTCTACTTCTTGAGCCACAGCGCCACTTCCGGTTTTCTGGTGGTTTATTGGAGATAGGAGTCTCACGGTCTCTCCTGCCCGGGCTGGCTTTGAACCGCTATCCTCAGATCTCAGCCTCCTGAGTAGCTAGGATTACAGGCGTGAGCCACCAGCACCCGGCTTCAAACTTCTTTTCTACACATGTGAGCTCATTTGTCTCTGAAGCACTACCCCCACTTCACCAATGGGGATTAGAGCCAAGGAAAGTCTGGGGCCCACCAGTGATGACAGGAGTAGGTAGTAGAATGGTAGAATAAAGATATGAATTGAGGCCCTAAGAGCAGAGTGTTCTTGGATCACACTTGTAATCTTAGCTACTCAGGAGGCTGAGTTCTGAGGATTGAGCAGTCTTAGGCTCAAAATGTTACAAGTGTCACCTCTGAGCTGGGTGACTCTGAACAATTCATTAGACTTTTTTTTTTGGGTCCAGTTGTGGGGCCTGAACTCTGGGCCTGGGCGCTGTCCCTCAGCCCTTCAGCTCAAGGCTAGCGCTCTACCACTTGAGCCACAGCGCCACTTCCGGCTTTTTTCTTTTTGCTTATGTGGTGCTGAGGAATCGAACCCAGGGCTTCAGGCATGCAAGGCAAGCACTCTACCACTGAGCCACTTTCCCAGCCCCCTCCATGAGACTCTTATCTCTAATTAACCACCAGAAGGAGAAGAAGAAGGAGCAGCAGCAGCAGCAGCAGCCAGAAGTAGAGCTGTGGCTCAAGTGGTAGAGTAACATCCTCAAGCAAGAAAGCTAAGAGACAGTACCCAGGCCCTGAGTTCACGCACTGGGACTAGAAGAAAAAACCAAAACAAAAATCATGGCCCTGAGCTGAGTCACTGGTTACCTGTGTGAGTGAACAAGGCCATCTCACCTGAGGCTGGCGGTACCAGTACAGCATGTGTCCCTTGAGTACAAACCAGCAGCGCCGCCAGCGGGGGCCCATGAAGCCACTGGGCACCTTGCGCAGCA